TTGTTTCCTTTTTCTTTCCCCAAATGGCAGAAAGGAGCATTTCGCAGACTGTGGTCAATAGAAAATTCAACACTTAATGCAGTTTACATGTTAATTCTGCGCACGAACCAGAATCCTTTTATTTACAAAACACGCTGGGTACAGAAATGGCTTGCTGAATTCAAAATTGCAAATCGTAACGTTTCTGCCGTCTGTGATAAGGTGAATTGAAACATTAGATGAAGAATATATTGAGAAAATTTCTGCAAGAGCATTTTAATACAAAGAGGCCAAAATAGCAAAAAGGAGAAAAAAACTGTTCATATGATTTCCTATTAGCTATGCTTAGGCATCCCTTTCTTTGTGCGCTGCATCCGTAATGAAAGGGCATGTGGCATGACAGATTCTTAGGAGTGGAAAGCCACGTCGACTAACATTCTTTTTTTTTTCTTTTCCCCCCTTCACCAACCTCCTGACCGTCCTTTCCTTATCCCCTTTGCCTCGCTCTCTCCAGGCCAGATATGTGTTATGAATTTATGTGCAGATAAAGCAGATCTATCATCCTGTCACAAAGGCAAGGGAGAGAAGTAGACTGTGGAATGCCCTGGCACGGGGAGCAGGGAAGGGCTCCGAGCAAAGTGCCATGCTTCCCCGCACATTCCCCGTTGCTCCTTCCCGTCTCCAGTAATTCAGTGTAGCTGCAACGCCCCGGAAACCGCACTTATCCATTCCTGTCGCACCTGTACCAGCCGTACCCACCCATGTCATTGGAGCACCGGCCAAACAGTCAGCAACGCCGGCGCCTGGATTAGCAAGAAATCCGGCTGCAGGTAGGCAGGAGCCTGAGCAGCTTGACCGGCTGCCAACTGTGGTCTGTAGTTATGCAGAACGGCAGCTACCTGCCCATCAGACAGGAGGCAAATTACAGAGTGTGTGCAGAGCATGGAAGAATGAATTATCGGACACCATCAAAAACACTGAGCTCGCTGATCCAAATCACAGTAAGGTCTGCGGTGATGCTGCCGCGTCAAAAGCATCTAGATAAATAAAGAAATGTTAGGAAAGTAATTGTGCAGTTTGAAAATCTGGTAAAGGCCGAGGAAGATGTTTGTCTCACTGCAGGACGACAACTCTAAAAAAAGTACAGCAGGAATAACAACAGAAGGGTTTTGATAAAAAAAAAAAAAACATATTCATGTTTTTAAAAAACCAAAGCCAGGCCCAGACCAAATACAATTGCGAATCGTCGGCAAGACCTGAGAATTTGCTTTTTGGTCTAATCTGCCTGGGCTTGAGCCATTTTACAAAACAGTAACAATGTTTTGAGTCAAGAGGGCCTGAATGTATTTGCATCCTAAAATCTTAACAGTGAAAAATACAAAATCCATGAAACCGTTTCCTTCCTCTTCACAGTTAAACGCTACTTTGTTGATCTGACACACAAATCCTAATAAAACATGTTGCAGCTATAGATTTACACTGCAGCATACTGCTAAAAAAAACGCTTTGGGAACTTCTAATTTGTCCCGTTCAGCTGATAAAACCACCAGTGTGCATATTTCCACTACAATTTGAGTTAAACATACTAAACAGTTGTTGACATTTTTAAACATCCAACATTTTGTCACTTACTGATGAGAAACACTTTTATAACAGGAAGAATGAACCTAAATAAAATATGTTTTCCTTGGCAAAGGGATTTTCACCCACTTCTACATGCGTAGGGCTCACAACCGTTAATTAATTTCCTTTCATCCACGAAAGAAACCATGTACATTTTCAACTTGCAATATTAAAACAAAAACACATACAAATTAGCTTAGCTTGGTTTGTGTGGGCTTGCAGGGCAAGTTTAAACGTGGGCTTAATTGTAACCCAAACCTTTTATCTTGCAGCTGTGGGTGGAGACGCATGAGCAACGAGGCATTTTGAGACCTTTTCTAAATATCTCTTATTTCCAGACAACACATGAATTTGCAAGGAAATTTGTCTTAATAAAGCCAGTACTTTATTTTATTTTAGTGTTTGCTGTTGTGCTGATTTGTCAAAAGATGGGTCCAGCTGTGTAAAAAATATATATATATAATGGTCAAGTATCAGGCGTTAATAGCTTGAGCTTGAAGTATCACAATATAATAAAAAAGTATAATAATTAACTCGCCCTTACAGTTAATTAGCGATGTAAAAGCAAAGTGTAAAGTGAGAAGAAGGCAAAATAACAGATGATGACATAATCACTGAAGTAATAAATACAAGGAGGCTTATTAAAAATTTACAGGAATAAATTATGAACAATGAATGTGTTTTAGTCTGCAGCTAAAAGAGGGGAAACAATTAATCAATAAAGACGTGGAGCTATTGCCCATCTCTTTTATAAATAGTCAAATGAGAAGTTGAGTAGTGAGTCTCAAAGAATATTGTGTGAATTCAGTTGTATTTAATTAATCAGAGAAAGTATTTTAACAAGCAGTAATTTTGCCACTTTCATGTAAAAAAAATAATCTAGTGAAGCAAAATGTCCTTTTGGAATTATGTTGATAAAATAAAAAAATAATTACACTTATGTAATTTTTTAAAAACCAAAAAATGAGTTGTGCACCACTGTGACCGTCATATTACAGGATTCAGTATGTAAAGCATATATTACATTCATTCATTGTCCAATATTTTTACCAACTGCGATCGAATCACTATCAAGATAACTTTTGCGGATTTTTTTGTCTGAATTGGAGTTCAAATGTTTGTGAACAAAAGGGGTTTTGACCCTGCACTCTGTGAAACCTGGAGCGTCGACTCCATTTAGTTCTGATTGAGCCGCCGTTCTGTTTGCAAAAGCAGAGTTTGCATGCAAACGCACAATTAAAGACAGTAACAAAGCAATTGAAATAAACCTTAAAAAGAGTTCCTCTTTCTATAGCTCTAGTCTAATCTGAAGTAGAAAATTTAGATGAAGAGACTAATTGAATTTGACACTTTTACCAAAACGACTGCCATCTTTCACAAGTTTTGAGTTTTTAAATCTTTTATTTGTTTCACTTGCGCTTCCCTTCCAAATGCGAAGCACAAGAGAACATGTGAGAACAGCAATTACGATAGTCTTGTGTGTGTTTCTTTTTCTAAGGCAAGTAAAGGATGCGTTACAAAAACTTCTAAAGTGTTCCACACTGATAATCAAATCAATAAAAAGCTTCAAACAAATGAAAATGTAATAAACACATGTAGAGGAAGGGATTGTACATTTTGTAGCAACTCAGCATCTGCCAATACACCACTGTATAACAATTTAACGGCATATAAACAGACTTTTAATAAGATTGCAGGAGTGACATATGCAGCCACATAAATGGAAGCTAGTATAAAATTCAATCCCACCATGAGTTATTATGAACTCAAACATCCGCAGTCTATAAGGTCCATAAACATCCTAATCAGATGTGCAATTGCCTCACTTCACTGCATGTCTTGTCAAATCCCTTAATGTAATTTTTTTTGTCTTTAACTACTCGACTCGGCCCCCTCTGCTTTCCCCACCTCCCTCCATCTTTAATGCCGTTTCATTTTTTTTCTTCTTCTTTTTTTTCCCTCTCTCTCTTCTTCCCCCGTCTGTGAGAGGAGCTGCACGGTGGGAGTGTGTTGTCTGAGTGCCAGGGCAAAAAATAGACGGCAAATTACAGAGCCTTCTGAGAACACCCCACCATGCAGCATGACCTCAAAATAACACAGCCAGACGTATAGTCCCATAGAAACGCGAAGTACACATTACGCTGTCCTACTTCTGGTTCTGCTCGCTTGACGTGACGGTCGCACAGAACCCTTTGCGACGTGCCAACCAGCGGTCCGACGCTGCGTTTGAGTTTATGTGCCTCGGGAGGAAAGTCTGAGTCTCATTCACAGATGTTAGTGTGATTACAGCCTCGTCTTGGCGCACTGTTTCAGAAAAGCACACACCTAAAAGTAGTTACTGCTACGAAAGCACTGCCAAGGTCAAACTTCGTCACTGCTATTTCCTTCGGAGCAACGACTGTTTTCCAGCAGGGAAAGATTTAAAGCTACGCTTCTCGCTGTAAATTGTTGCATGCTCTGCAATACCTCTTCAACGTCCCTAAGTTTTGTCACATTCCAACCGCAAACCTCAATTGGGACTTTTTGTAGTAAACCAACAGAAAGTGATGTAACTGTGAAGTGGAAGGACGAAGTTATACGTGTTGTGAAAAGCGTCTCATGTGTTTGTATTCAGCCCCGTTTACTCAGACGACCCACACAAAACCTAGCGCAACAAACTGGCTTCAAAACAATTAATTCCTCGCGTGTCCACCGGGGTGCGACTGATTCCATTCAACAAGCCATTTTTGCTTCAAAGGTTTGTTGAGCAATATCAGCGAGCAAACACTGTCATTATGACTAAGAGACAAGACTGACAGAGTGCCAGTGCAATTTCGGATAAATCTAATTCAGGTTTAGGTTATAAAACGATATCCAGAGATTTGGACGTCTGACAGAGAACAATTTGAAAATGGAAAGCGTCAATCATAACATAACTGCAAACCTACCAAGACATTGCTGTTCATCTTAACTGAGAGAGGCTGGGAGGGAGAGCATTAATCAGAGAAGCTGCCAAGAAATGAGATTAAACCAGAATCAGACTTCATGGCAACGTTATGTTGTGGGAACTTGTTTCCTTGGAAATTGACAGTAAAGCTTATCAGCGGTCAAGGGAAGCCAAGCAGATCTGAATTCAGAGGAATCCTCACTTTCTAGCAACAGAACAACTCTAAACATAAACCATATCTACAATTAGACCAAAGCTTAATCATATGTTACAACATGACTGAGCTGAATAGAAAAGACAAAAAATATAAAAAAATTGCTCACAGTTAACATGATTTGGATTGATCTATTGTGTAAAAATTATTGTTGGTGTTTAAACCTCTGACAATGCTGATTTATGATGCAAGTGGTCAAAAAAACCAGAAACCCAGCGGGAGTGATGAATGAGCATCACAGGTGTTTGTCACACTCACCTTGAGTGAGTCAAAACAGGCAATGACTCTGCCGTTTTCCACTTGACAGCTCTTGGCAGGGTGGGCGAACTTGCACTCGTTGTCCGGCCGCGAACACGTTCCTCTCTGAAACTCCCGACACACCTCCAGCGTCAGCCACTTCGTGTCCCGGATCGGTGTCACATTCACCGCCATTTCAAACTGAAACAGGAAGGGGTCGATCGGGGGGAGCTAGCTGTCCAGCAAGCTTGCTGTTCTCTGGTAAAACCGGGGCAGATGATGAGAAGGGATAGGTTGAGAACATCAGAAAAAAAAAAAAAAAAAAAACGAAAACAAAAAACAAACAAAAAAAAAAAAAAAACACAGCTTCAGTGGTTGTGCTCCAAGGTTGTGATCTGAAAGAAGCCTGTTGGGGGCTCTCCTAACACTTGGGGTCCATCCCAGGAGTCTGTTTGTGGCTTAAACAAGCCTGTCGCCGTTGTCTTGTAACCTGTCTCTTAACGCACACGGGGGCACACGCAACCCCAGTTCTCTCAATTTGCTCACTTGTCAGCTGAACCGTCAGACGAGATGAACGGCACAACACGGTATCGATCAGGTTTGGCCCATGATGACAGAACGCAGGGGCCAGCAGACGAGGGGGGAAAAGTGACTGGAAGAGAGGAGAACCAGCAGAGACAACAGCAGTGAAACAATTTTCTTTCAGCTAGCAGGAGCCGATAAAAGCTGTTTGCCTTCAATATTTGTCGACTGAGAAGGTGCGGGGGAGAGGGAGTTGGGCCTTCACAGAGGAGGCTGGAGTGGCATGGATGGTGAAGAGAGCAGGCAGGATACGGGGGCGGGAGGAAGTGCCGTTTGCACAGAGACAACCTTAGCGGATGGAGCTGGCAGTCATGGCAGCCCTGGTGCTTTTGGTGTGGCCCCAGCGGCTCCGGCGAACTTGGGCAGGCACAGGCGGCCTCAGAGGAGCCAGACAGCCAGGAGGGTCAGCACACGAAGGCACTTCTCTCTGCAGGGAGGCACAGGTCAGAGGTTAACACAGAATCACGTATAAAACTTCAGTCAATGCGTCCTCCTACACATTTTCCTCTGAAAACACAATAGGAGATGCTGCAGGCTCGGGGAGAAATCTAATCGGAAATGTAAACTGAGGAAGAAAAACAAGAGAAAGATATAAGAAAATGTGGGAAGCGGGCAATCATATTTAGAACTCTGACTCAGAATCAAAGTTCATTACAAAGCAGCTTTAATTTATGCGTAACACACTTAAAAGATTTGTGCAATCGAAAGGAATTCTCTATTTCACTTATTAGCATTAATTACAATCCCAATGGTGACCCCGCTGTAATATTGTAATAGTTAATAATGTAATCAGAGATAGCAATACCACACCGAGAGCAATTGAGCATGAAATGTAAAGATTAGTAAGTTGTAAGTAAGCCTGTCCCTGGTGAGACTGCAAATGGCCAGTCAGCTAGCCCGACGACTCCAGCAACGCTGCTGGCTGGAGGCCAAATGGGAGAGAACGATTTCGTCGGGATGAGGTCACCGTGAAGGACAGAAGAAGAGACAGAGACGGACTACCTTCAGTGTACACCTGCAACATATTCCCCCGGTTCACTATCAATGTGTATGTAAGGAGAAATCTTGTTCCTTTACCAAACAAATGAACATACCACATTCAAATATATGCACAACCTGTTGATGTTGAGATTAAAAGATGGCCACCTTAGCCGTTTTATTTGTTTGAAGGCTAACAGCCATGTAGCGAGTCGCACGGAGTCTACAAAGCAGTCAGCAAGCTGGCATTTTATTTCTTTAATGCTGGATTTATGCTGTAAGGGCACATGTTGGTGAGTTCCCAATGAACATCGGGTCAAAGACTTTGACCCAAAACAAGCCTTGTTGTCCTTCACAGACCCACAGTTGGAAATGCACACAAGCCCGTTCAGACTTTAATGACTTTTTTTTTTTAATCTCTTTGTGAAAAATACTTCTGATGAGATGACATAATTGCAGCAAACTCTGCAAGTAAGCAACCTTGTAGCATAAGTGAGATATGAATGTGTTTGTACTCTGTGTTTGACAACTTGACAAGGCCAGTGTTTAGTTTTTATGGGTTCTGGTGTCGGTGGAAAGCACAAACATTCAACAGCTGCAAAAACTCCAGATGAATAGTGATGAGTCGGGCAGATGAACGCATTTCATGGAACAAAATGCTGCGTTTTGTAACTGATGCAAAACTGAGTGGATTTTAAAAAAAAAAATCAATAAAATAAAAAAAACTTCTTCAACATTCCAACTCTACATGAAGTTTAAAAAGAATAAAGCTTGGCACTTTGACTAATTTTGTTAACCAAAAGCCAAATTATATTCTTCCACGTCCCACAGTAGACAAGAACATGAAAACAACTGAAAGTTACATCAAATGTCCATTAAAAGCGTCACATTTGCACAATTGGGTCAATAGTTGCACTTTTAATGCAAAGTTCTATGAAAGCTTGCATTGAAAGTGTCCGCTTTGCATTCAGGATGTCACCATTTACTGAATGGCACTTCATGACAACAGTAATAAACATTCATGAAGAGTATTTCAGGTTCATAACAGTTGTTATGTCATATTTATGGTTAAGTGTCATGCCAGTTTCATGCACATCCCTTCAAATAGTGTTACCAATAAAAAAAACTGCTTCAGTGGTGGAAACATGCACATACACGATCACACACTTAGCTTGCAAAGTTTTTATTCTCACATTAATAGCTATAATTTGGGTATGTTTTTTTTTTTTTAATCTCGAGTGTAGCAGTGGATTCTGGAAAAACAAACAACTTAAACTCCGACCCAAAGTAACTCGATTTTTTTACGAACGTCCAATCAAATGCAAGTGACTGGAAGCAGCAGCAGTCTTAAATGGATAGGTCATGACTTTTGACCAACAATAACTCCTAAATATATCTCAATTTCTCTAGTGGGTAATTTTACGAACAAGAACAGCTTAACCAGTCAAGACATGCACAGAGTCAAACTCTCATTCCCTTCCAATAAATATAATGTAATGTTTAGTAATATCACCACACATAGCCACATTTGCTGCATTTAACTGCACTCTGGAATCTATTCATTTGTACAACATCAAAATAATTTCAGTGAGTGAACATGAATTGTTTACTTTAATGATGAATGCTTGCTGGCTTTCTTAGTTTGCTTGTTTTTCCAAAGAAAATTAATTAGATTTTGAATTAAATTCAGTCCTACTGAATGCCACCAGACAAAGTCAACTCGAAACTTAGCAGTAGAACAGGGAAGCAGAAAGAAAACAGTTTAAAAAAATGCACCCAAGTCTCCCATCACAGCCCGGCTATTGCTTTTCCTGAGGTCATGCATTTAAGCAGAGAGGAAATGTGAGATCAGAGCAGAAGCCCACAGAATATCCAGTAGCAGCCTCATGCAATGAAGCAAAAGAGAAAATAGTCCGTTCAAAATAAGTGACAGGCTTAAACAGCTGGAAAATGTTCACAAATTTCATTAGACAAACATATCCTGGTGTCTAGGGGCGTTTAGATGTTAGTTGTTTTTTTTCTGGAGGGAGTTCTGTTTTCGTTGGACGCTCAGAAGCTCTTGTGCAATGCGGTGCTGAAAACAGCTACGTCAGTGCAGCCAGTTCAATAAACTCGGCTCCACCTCTGTGTGTTATTAGCGGTTGTTCAACACGGAGGACTGAATTAGGTTTACTCCAAAATAGAAAATGGAAACGTCAAATCACATGTGAAAAATGACTTCAGCATCAAGGCAAATATATAAATAAAGGCTTCGTCAATAAGCATCTTAGCGTTTGTGAATAATGCATGTGGTCATTTCCCATAGCCAGAGGCTAAATATATTATTATACCTGCAGATCCAACAGCCGAGGTAATAAGGTGGGGTTAGCAGTGAGCTCAAGGGAGATGTAGATCATATGCAACAGTAAATGCCCCATTGCCCTTAAAGTGTGCACATTAGCATGTAAAAGAGCCCACTAAAATACTAGAAAAATGTTTCTCTTTAACATTTTGTTTATGATTTACTAAAATACAATCACAAACTTGTGTTTAATTTACTGGGATTGGAAGTGGCAGATCAACACTAGAACTACACAGAAGTGGAAAGAAACATGCGACGTGATTTGAGGTGAGTGCACCTCCTCCATGAGAGCCATTTTGGAGCTTATCTCACAAAAATCCAAATAGAAATGTGTAACATGATAAAATGTGAAAAGCTTAAGGGGTGTGAATATTTTCTTTTTTTTCTTTTTTGCAAGGCGCAAGTGTAGCTGTGCCACATTGTAAGAACAGAGTGTAACGCCAAGAGTGCCACAGAGGCTCAGGTAGTCCCTCTGTTGAAGAAAGTTGTCTGATCTTGAGCTCATCTGTCAACACTAGCCTCGAGTGATGGCAGCCAAGCCAAACACAGACGCGGACCCACGTTTTGTCAGAGACGAAGACTAATTTCTGAATTTGAAGCATTGTTTTTCTCATTTTTGTCCAGTGTTTTCCCCTGCGGTAAACAAGCCAGGGCAAAATGTAAACACATTGATACAGATTCCGTCTCCGTGCTTCCTGTTGCTGATCGTGACCTTTGCGCACGGATCAGTTTGCACACACTCGCAGCAGATGACGCGGCATAAATTACAGCAGAAGTTTATCAAGCCTGTCTCATAAACAGTTTTCTGGGATGTAAACACTCTCGGGGCTAATCATCATTATCTCTTGTGCAAAATGTTAGAAATGCAGACAATGTGAAACCAAATATAGTACGGCAAATTTTGCTGGACCATACACAGTTCAGTCCGAAGTTATGGTGGAGACAACGAACATGTGAACTGGTCAAATGAGACCACTTTGGTAACTACAAACAAAATCATATGAGTGGAGGAAGGTTAACATTAAATCACCCTTAACTTATCAGGGAAAATGGTGGAGGCAGCATCATGAGAAGATGTGCAGAGTTATTGAGAAGACAGATTGAGCTGAACACAGAGTGATCTTGGTGGGAAACCGAAGGCTGCTATGAATTAAGATACATTTATGTATTAGAAAGGCCTAGTCAAAGTTCACACATAAATCCAATTGAGATTTTGTGCCAAGAATTGAAAACCAAGTTGAATCCTCAAAAGATTTACAGTTAAAATTGCAGAGTAAGATTGTTTTATTACTTTTCTGATTTTTGTTCATCAAAATTTGAAAAACCGTGAGACATTTTCTACCGCTTAACAATTATGCACTTCTGTGTTGGTGGGTTGCGTAAAGTACAAATAAAAAAAATCTAAAGTTTGCAGCAATCATGTAAAAAAACAAAAAAACATGAAGATTCCACGAAGATTTTGCAAGAAACTCCACCTACCTATTTTATGGCTTTACTTTAAGAAAATGTAAAACCCTTGAAATTGAGATGGAATACTGTGAACCCTGCATCTCTATTTTCATCTGTTCACTTCAGGAATGCAGCATCCTCACACCACAAATCGGTATCGTTTCTGCTCTGTTCTTAAATTAATTCACATTGTCTGGCCAAGAAAACAGCAATGTAATAAAATAAACATCAGACACAAGTTTGGGATAAATGTTTGGGTTTGTTCAGATGAAAAACCTTTGAGCAAAAATACAAAGCACAAACAGACTAGCAGCCATTAATTGGACCAGTAACACCGCATGTGCAATTATCCAGTGAGAATTTGATAGGAAAAGGAACATACAGCAAACGATAAAAACAACAAATAACACAGTTCGATGACAATTACGTTTAAACAAGTGATTTCAAATAATTAAATGAACAGTGACTTACAAAAAAATCTAAACAAAGTTACAATAAACAGGAATCCTAAAGGTCTTACGTTCTTACATCAAAGCCATGCTTTCTGTGGTTTTTACTTGAGGTAGCTGCAAATCCTGAAATTAATGTGCACAGTTTGGCACCAATCACGTGAAATTCCACAGTTAACTGGAGCCACATTTGGCTCTTCATGCATATGA